CCTCATCTTTCTCCTGCGTAACAGCTGTCCCTGAGGTTAGCGGCCTGATTCATAGCCACTACACTACCATAGCTCTCGCTCTCTCTCTCTATATATATATATAGGTTCATGGGAAAATCCCCTATTGTTTCATTCTGTTTTCCACAAACTCTTTGAAGTCCCTTCAGACACCAACCATCACACACATACATTTGTATATGAATATGTACATTTATGTATTACAATGAATACAGTTGTTCGTTGCAATCAAATCTATTCTAATTCATGATGAACCAATGTCTGCAGGGTAGAATTGTGCTTCATAGGTTTGGCAAGGCTGTGATGTTTCATAAGCAGATTGCCAGGTCTTTCTTCCAGGGCACATCTGGGTGGGTTCAAACTGCCAAATTAGTGCTTAACTCTTTGTGCTAAGATAGACTGGTAGATGGATACACAGAAAGAATGCAAGAGATAGAACGATCGATACATAGAGTTTACTTCAAGAGATTGACTCTCACAATTTTAAGTCCAAAATCTGTAGGTCAGGTGACAGGCTGGAGACTGGTGGCTTTTGCAGACATAAATCCCAAGAGCTGTAGGTCAGGTGCTGGAAAGTGTTCAGGAGAGAGCGGTACCTCTGGGTGAACTTGAACCTCTAACATTTCAGTTAGCAGTTGGGTGTGTTAACTGTTTACAACACTGCTCTGCCAACTAGTAGCTTGGAGTGAGAGAGAAGTTCTGTCAAAATATCTACTGCCTCACCTTATGAGAAGCCCTGGTGTGGCACTGTAGGATAAGCACTAGACTGCTAACCACAAGGTCAGTGGTTCAAACCCACCAGCCGCTCCTCAGAAACCCTCTACAGGGTCGCTATGACTTGGAAGTACTTCACAACAAAGCCTTCAGAAACTCCCTTTTCAATCGATGGATTGGCTATATTAGATGACATTATGGAAAGTGCTTATATCCCATCTTGGAACAGCAACTAGTCCAGTGTTTGGTCAAACCACTGGGAACCACAGCTCACCCACGTTGACACAGAAATTAACCCTTACATACATACCCTGCAGGCATGTGCTCATCAGCTTCACCTTCGTGTACGGTACAGTGGTCATGGCTTTGGTGGACGCTGAATACGAGATGCCAGGCCAGATGCTCAAAGTCCGATACTGGCCTCGGGACACATGGCCCATGGGACTGCCCTATGTGGAAGTCAGGAGTGACAACAAGAACTGCTGAGGTCCACCAGCCTCCTGCCTACCCAACCACCATCAACATGCCTGAGTCTTGAGAGATGGACCTGGATCATGGACTTCAGCTTGAAAGACACACATGGATCCTTCCTCCAATTCCGTCCCTCATCCTCTTGTCCCCCTGCAAGGAAGGAGATGGGCTTCCTGACCTCTTTGGAGCAGTAGTCTGATGATCCTGTGTGGCTAGCTGTTGTATCTCCCTGTCTTCTAACAATTTCCTGCTGTGTCTACAGTTTTCCCATGGCCTATGTTACAAGACTTTTGCAGGGAATGAACCCATGCTAGAGCTTGGTCCCTGGGCACTTTATAAATATTGGTGGCCACTACTTACGTCTTTGACTATAGTAGTGTCCTTGGTGTTTGGGGGTCATATCAGAGAAAGGGCACATCTTCAGGTCACCTCATTCTATACCCACGCTGATGTATAATTACCTCCTGGGAGCTCCACATCTACTCCTATGGACTCGTGAGAGTCACAACTGAGGAAATGGAGTTCCCAGTAGGGTAATCTAGGTGCTGGGGGAGCACAGGGGATCAAAAGAGGGAGTCTCAGAGGAGGTAGAGCATTCCCATGGAGGCTAGGAGCACAGAGCTTGGAGTTACCCCATCTTGAATGCTCATGTCATCATTTTTAAGCGGGTTTCCCGACTTTAAAGTTCAACCCCTTGCCTATAAAACAGAAATACTGTTTTTTCCCTCATGAAGTCTCTGTGTGGATAAAACGAAATGATGTATCTAAGGTGCTTAGCAGAGGATGGATCCATCTATCCATCCATTCCTCCTTTAATTTATCCATCCATCCATCCATCCATCCATCCATTCTTCCACCATTCATTAATTCATCCAATCATCCCCATTCATCCCTTCCTCCTTTAGTTTATCCATCCATCAATCCTTCCACCATTAATTTACTCATCCATCCACCCACCCATTAATCCATCCACTCACCCTTTAGTTTATCCATCTGTCCATTTATCTGTTCATCTACCATTAATTTACCCTCCCATCCTTCATATATTAAAGTTTCCCATGGAACCATCATCCTTTAATTTACTCATCCATTCATCCTGTCATCTGTCATTCATCATTTTTCATCCAGTCATCCATTCATTAATGTGTCCATCCATCCAGTGAGCCATTCATCATCTATATTTGCTGTTGTTACTAGATGCTGTTGAGTTCGTTTGGACTCATATAGCAACTCTATATACAACAGAGTTGTTGAAACACTGACTGGTCCTGCGCCATCCTCACACGCTTCCCTATAATTGAGGGCACTGTTGTAACCATTGTTGTTATCAGTGCATGTAGATGGGGGTCTTGCTCTTTTTCACTGACCTCCACTTTACCTAGCATGATGTTCTTCTCCAGGAACTGTCTGAAGTACGGGCAACAAAGTCTCACCATCTTCTGTTCTAAGGAGCACCGTGACTGTACTTTGTCTAAGACAGATTTGTTTGTTCTCCTGGCAGTCCATGCTGTATTCAATATTCTTCACCAACACCATCATTCAAAGCCATCTTTGGTCTCATTTAGTCATTGTCCAATTTGTTATATTTAGTCACTCGGTGATCTCTTCAGTATTCAGATTTGAACCAAATTATTCAATCATCCTTCTGCTAATGAATCTATTTTAAACTCATTCATATCTCATCAACAAATACTTATTGAGTTCCCTGTGTATATACATTTTGTTATATACCATCAAGTTGGTTCTAACTCACAGCAACATTGTATAGGATTTCCACGAAGCAGCTGCTGGGTTTGAACCACCAATCTTGTGGTGAACTGTCCAATGCTTATACTTATTGAGTTCCCTGTGTATATACATTTTGTTATATACCATCAAGTTGATTCTAACTCACAGCAACATTGTATAGGATTTCCACGAAGCAGCTGCTGGGTTTGAACCACCAATCTTGTGGTGAACTGTCCAATGCTTATCCTACTATCTAGTGGTAAGCAGTCCAGTGCTTATGTGGAGTCCTGATGTGGCACCATACAATAAGCCTAAGGACCAGAAGGCTGGACCACAAGATCTGTTTGAACTGCAAGGTCAGCGGTTCAAACTCACCAGTCTTTCCTTGGAAACCCTATACAGGGTCACTATGAGTTGGAATTGACTCGATGGCACTTAACAACAACAAATATATATGTGTGTGTGTGTCTGTCTGAGTCCTGGTATAGTGCTGTGGGATAAAGCACTGGACTGCAAAGTCAGTTTGAACCACAAGGACGGTGGTTCAAATTCACCAACTGCTCCTTAGAAATCCTAGACAGGGTTGCTATGAGTCAGAACCTCCTCGACAGCACTTAATAACAACATCAATTCTAACTCATAGCGAACCAGTATAGGGTTTCCAAGGAGCGGCGGATGAGTTTGAACCGCTGACTTTGTGGTTCAAACTGACGTTGCAGTCCTGCACTTGTATATGTTATTATTGCTATTACTAAGTGCTTTTGAGTCAAATTCAACTCACAGTGACCCTGTGTAGGGTTTCCTAGGAGTGGCAGGTGAGCTTGAACCACCGATCTTACCACCAAAGTTCAAAGTGACTTTGCAGTCCAGCACATTAACCTGCAATGCTACACCAAGACTCCATGCTTGTATACCTGTATACCTGTATATCTGTATTGGAGCTCTGGTAGCATAGTGGTTATGAGTTGGGCTGCTAACCTCAAGGTCAGCAGTTCAAAACTACCTACTGTTCCTCAGGAGAAAGATGAGGCTTTCTGCTCCTGTAAAGATTCAAAGCCTCAGAAATCCTGTTCAGGGTTACTATGAGTTGGAACTGACTCCACAGCACATAACCAACCACAATAAATCTCTATCTTGTTGTTAAGTGCCGTTGAGTTGGTTCCAACCCATAGCAACCCTGAACAGGGTTTCTGAGCCTATAAATCTTTACGGGAGTAGAAAGCCTCATCTTTCCCTCGCGGAGCAGCTGGTAGTTTCGAACTGCCGACCTTGCGGTTCGCAGCCCGATTCATAACCATTACGCTACCAGAGCTCCTATCTATGGGTTAATGTGACAGACTGAAAAGCCATTTGAACTGCAAGGTCAGCAGTTCAAGCTCACCAGCCACTCCTTGGAAACCCTATACAGGGTCACTATGGGTCAGAACCGATTCAATGGCACTTAACACCAGCAACTATCTATCTATCTATCTATCTATCAACTATTCTCTCAGACACTAGACCTTGGTGTATAAGTCAAAAAAATCATTCAAAGTCCTTGCCTTATGAAGGAAACAGATATTAAACAAATTTAAAGAAACATGAACAAGATACTTCCAACCACCAATGACTGCTACAAAAAAAGATAAAGCAGGATGAAGTTCTAGAGAATGATGGAGTGGGTTGTCCAAATGCGTTGTCAAGGAGGAGTGTGCTTTTAAGCTGAGCCTTTGAGGACAAAGGAAAAGCAGCTATGCAAATGAGCGGGGGCTCGGGGAGACCGGATGGATCATCTGTGCACAGGGAACCACAGTGTGACCCCACCCCATCCACAGGTGCCATGAACTTTCATGTCTCTGTAGGGGTTTAGCACATAGGAAAGGGCTCTTAATCTGGGAGCTCCAAGTAGGTCTCAGTGTTCATGAACCCCTGGACACCATCTGCAAAAGATGAGTGTCTGGGCAGTTGAGTCTATCATATACCGTGACCCATGGCGCCCCCATGTGTGTTAGAGTAGAATTGCGTTCCTTAGGGTTTTCAATGACTGAGTTTTCAGAAGTAGATCACCAGGCCTTTCTTCTGAGGTGCCTCTGGGTGCACTTGAACGCCAACCTTTGGGTTAGCAGCTAAGCATGCTAACCATTTACACCTAACAGGCAACTCTGTGGTTGCTGGCGTTTGTTGGCTCAGTCCTGACTCATAACAACTGTAAGTGGGCAGAGTAGAACTGCCCGATAGGGATTTCAATGCTGTGACTTTGTTTTAAGGTGTTTATTGTGGATTGAGTGAAATTTTACAGGGCAGATCATCAGTTTTACAGTCCACGAATCATACACCTTGTTTCATTACAATGATTATAATCCCCTCCATGTACCATCAGTTAACAATATTTCTCTCTATTCACTTTGTTGTTGTTGTTGTTAAGTGCCGTCGAGTCGGGTCCGACCCATAGCGACCCTGTACAGGGTTTCCGAGGGTGTAAATCCTTACGGGAGTAGAAAGCCTTATCTTTCTCCCGCATTCACTTTAGCTCTTTTTTTTTTTTTCAAACGCTCAGGCATATATAACAATTTACACCACAAAAGGACACATTCTGCTAATCTGCCTCCTAGCCGCCAGCTCTCAGTCCCTCTTTTCCCATGAATCTAGAGTCCTCAGCTGCTCCCTCTCTCCATGTCTCCATCTCTGCCTCCATCTCTGGTGTCACTGCTTCTCTAGATAAGGTCTTGCATTCCGCTTGTGCCCTTCTCCCTCGATGGCTCAATGCTGTGACTGTTTAAAAGTCTGGTCTTCCTTCTGAGGCATTTTAGGGTGTCTTTGAATCACCAACCAGGAACTCTACCTGTCTCTAAACACATGGCCATAATTTGTCCCCAGCATCTGTGCCCTGGCCCCTGCTGATGCTTCCTCCTGGCCTCTTCTTGGTACATAGGCACAGCTGTTTAGACTATGCTATGTGACCTTGGAGGGTCACAGTCTCCATTAGAGAGGGCTTTGGGTAGCAGCAAACAGCGTTCAGCTCCTACAGGCTGAAACACCAAAGGACAATTAGCACATGAACTGTTAGAGTGAAGGATCAAGCTTCAGGCTTGGCTGGATCAGGTTTCAAATGTCACCAGAGCCCGGCTGCCTCCATTGTTTTCAATTGCCTCATGGTGGAAGCTGGTCCCTAGCAGCAGTTCTAGGCTTATATTCTTTCAAGTTGAAAAGTGAACTCAAAAGCTCCAAGAACCTTTAAAAAGATGTCTTGGTGTCATCATTCTCTAAAAGCAAAACAAAACAGATAAATAAACAAAAACAACCATACC